TATAATTTATCCAATCATTTTCCAATAGAGGAAAATCTGACAAATAAGGGAGAAGGCCTAACAGATTTCCAAAAAAATCTGGGTTTTTTTTTTTTTGAAGAACAGGAATTCATCCTTACCTTAAATTTAAACCATTCATAAAAGTTTGTAGGCTTTTGGAAAAGTTATGTTTTCAGCTGGATAAAATGAAAGCAGATGTTCTTATAAATCTATGCTTATTTCAGTGAGGTGACTGGAAGTAAATATCCAAATAAATAAATAAATAAACAAACAATAAGCATTGGAAGTAAGTATGCATTATAAAAAATGCATCTATTGAAACATACAAATAAGTTATTTTAGTGTACATACTAAATGGAGTAGAATATTTGAGTCCTCAACATGGTAGCAATATATCTACAAGCGACTGTGAAGAGATTATTTGGAGATAGGTATGTGAATAAGGCCACTTCTGTGAAAAAGAGATGAGACCATCCCACCCTTGGAGTAAAACAGGACTAGAACTGGGTATCTCTAAATTCTGTTTTCAACCATTTATAGAAAAAAGAACAAATTAGGGAAAACATGCAGAGCATGATTACTGAATTCTTTTCAATTAATCCCTTAATCGTAGCTCTGCCTGGGGAGGGGGGGTCATGTGACCTGAAGGGAGGGCTTAGATTGTAACAGTGAGCAACATTCTGTGCCAATGCCAGCTTCCTCTCCCACGATGATGCACTGTGAAATCTCTTTTCTGGATTTTTTGCTCCACAGCCTCCAGCCAGATCTGGCTCATTTTTGAACTTGGTCTTTCTTTTGTTGACTTCTCTTCCAATACCAAACTAGATCCCATTCTTTTCTGATTTTCAGACAGACAGGCAGAGTTTTGAGCTCTTTTTATGTAATTCCTTTCAAACATTCTCTGGGGTTGGGAAGGATAAAGAAGAACAAAAGAATTATTGTTTCTGAATGCCTTTCTCCCTAAACCACCTTGGGATGATGGGGCAGAAAGAGGTTCCCTCAAATTCAGAGTAAATGTATTCAGTTTTTTTTTAGGTTTAACTCAGTTTCACTATACAGGTCGTCCTCAACTTGCAACAGTGGTGGGTTACGACCGGTCCGGTCTGGTATGGGCGTACTGGTGCCTGCTGGGAGCACCAGGTACCGTTCCAGTACGGTGCTCTGGAGGGCCCACCTGTGCTCCTTACTGGTATTTGAAGTTTTCGGGGCTTTCGCGCAGGTGCATGAGCATACGGTGCCTGCGTGACGCTCTGCCGAGCAGCTGGAGCATCACGGAGGCATTGCGGAGTGTTGCGGGTGGTAAGTATGCATGTGCCTGCTGCATGCATTTATGGGGGGGGGGCAGCCCCGTTGCACCATACCGTTTGCACTGGGATCCAGAACCCACCATTGACTTGCAACCACAATTGAGCCCTAAATTTTTGTTGCTAAATGAGACTGTTGTTAAGCGGGTTTTACCCCATTTTACGACCTCTCATGCCACAGTTGTTAAATGAGTCACTGTAGCTGTTAAGTGAGTAACAGAGTTGTTAAGTGCATCTGGCTTGCCCACTGGCTTTGCTTCTCAGAAGGTTGCAAAAGGTGATCACATGATTTTGGGACACTGCAACCGTCATAAACATGAGTCTATTGTCAAACATCTACACTTTCATCATGTGATCATGGGGATACTGCAACAGTCGTAAGCATGAAAAATGGTCATAAATCACTTTTTTCAGTGCCGTTGTAACTAAAGCAACACTAAATGAACTGTTGTAAGTCAACAACTACCTGTATTAGCAAATTATGTAAGATGATATAATACGGGGCCTTAGTTAAGGAAAGTAAAATATTTTCTGTTTGAAAGGTAACTAATGTAACTGTATTTAACCCTATATCTCAAGATATGTAATTCCGGAGTACCAGAAACAAACTTATCTTATGCTACCCTATTAATTTTATATTCATATGTCTCACATTATGTCTTATTACCATACATTTCTGCATCAATCATCTTTGATTCTGACAAATAGGTTGCAATAGCAGGATTGCCATTTATAGCTGCAGTCATATATTTGCATGTGTTTCTTTGGATTTACTATTTAGTTCTGGATATACATTCAGAGAAAAATACTCATGCAATTTCAACTAAACTTTCATTTTTGGTAACACTTGAACAGCTTGCTAGAAAATTTTAATACTGCGCTTGTGTATGCACATGAGTGTGAGACTCATTTACTGTTAGGGCAAAATCTCTATTTCCATCTTTAGAAAATGGAATGTGTTATAATAAACCAATACTTGCCCTGATTGCCACAGTACTTTTTGTATTGATATTTTGTTCTGACATAGCTCATTCACTAGAAATAGTTTTATATTCATTACATATGGATAAAAATTACAAATAAAGGTTTGAAGATTATTTTCAATGAGTAGCAGTGGAAAATAATCGGGCTTCTTAATATGCTGAAGCTCTTAGTACTCCTTTGATTTTATATTATGGTTTGGAGGAAGGTGTTTTTTTTTACTAATGCTGTGCCAAAACTAATGTTATGGGTTTGGATTTAGTGTTAGTTTGGTACAGGAGCATGATTGTCTTGTCCTGGATTAATAACATGTGCTGAAGAGATCTGAACATCAACTATATACAGCAGTGATGGCTAACCTTTTCCAGAGTGAGTGCCC